AAAGTTTAAAGTTGTTTACCGAAGCCTATACTTATTGCCAATAGAAATAATAAACTAAACATATGTATTTGATCGAAACATCTACTTACATCATTTAAGTATTAATAACAAGGTCACTTAACTTAGATATCTTTAAGGTAACATTGTACATAAAAATAACACATATAATTACGATGGAATGACAAACAAAATATACAAAGCGCGAAAGAAACTGATATGCAATACAAGTAATAAATTGTTTTTTATATATATATATATATATATATATATATATATATATATATATATATATATATATATATATATATATATATATATATTTATGAATAGAATAATACATTGATGTATGTATTCATAAATATATAAATATATCATAAACATTTTTCGTCACAAAGAGTAAGTCACAGAATATTTCTATCTTAAATATTTGGCCTTTCTTCGATATAGTAATAAGTGTGAATTAACTTTAAATTCTTAACTGCCTGATAAGTGATAATCTGTAAGTTTGCCATAATTCAAAATAATTCAAGTTACCCAATAATTGTGTCGAATATTCTAGCAACACCCAAAAAAAAACGATTATGGTTTTATTTTAATATCAATCTTCAATATCATACGTTCTACATTTGCGACCTTGATTAAGAAACGATAATACTTTAGAAAAATGGCAGCGAGTGACGTAAATTAAAGTTCACATAATTTCAATAAATATTCTACACATAATTTAACTCTTAAGTTATAAATTTGAATTGAATATCGTTTAACAAAGTTTACGCCGGTGGCCGGTCGGTGTGCAAGCCGAAAAGTTAAAGTGATAAAAGCTAAAGTGATAGGTTCAACAAGTAGATCATAAAAGAACACCACTGCGTAAAACCTCCACTGAAAAGAGAAACATTTAAATATTATACATATATCCTACATTACTTCTACAACCAAAACGAATTTAATGTCACCACATATGTATAGAAAATATCCCCCAAAAAAATAAAAAGACATATATCTTGTAAAACAACCTAAATCATTGGGTGCGTTTGGCAGAAAAAAGCGCTAGCAAGCGCTTATAAGCGCTAAAATAGTTTTCGGCCAGGACACGATTGCTACTTCAGTAGCGCTGACACAATCCGCCATTTTGCTTATTTAATTTGTTTGTTTTGAAGTAGAGTTTATAAGTTGTTTTGTGCAATATTAGTTTTAAGTAATATAATGACATGAATAAACATATACATGCTATTAAAAACTCATGATTGGTAAGTTTTTAATATGAATACTTTACAAACATATATTTAAATTAGGTTAGGTTCCCCGGTTAAAACTAACATCGTGTCCTGGAGGAAAATAGCTACTTACGATTTGACAGCGCTTACCGCTTACGATCGCCATTTTGCTTACAAGCGCTTGCTAGCGCTTTTTTCTGCCGAACGCACCCATTGTACTCCGTGCATTGTATAAGTGGTAGAGCCAAGCTGCAGCTATGTTATGGTTGTAACACAAATGGTCGGCTCTACCGTGGAAGAACCACGCTCTCACAGAATACCAGCCTAAAATAGCAGCTAAATACTGCTGTGTTGCGTATGGTGAGCGTAGAGATCCAGTGACCCTTTTTTACTGGAAACGAGGTATTCCATCTTAGTCTTCAGTGGTGACAACGCAACTGCGTTTTGATTCTTAATCGGGGATTAATGGAGATGTCTATGGACCACCATATCCACTTACCATCAGGTGGACTATGTGCTTGTTTGCCACCCTTATTCTATAAAAAATGTACCATGAAGTCATTCATTTAAATATTGTAAAGAACGGAGTGCCTTAATAAGTATAACGTATATCGCCATATACGATTTCAGGGTTTAGAAATTAATTTAAGATTTTAAGAAATTAAAAAATTAAACTAATTCGGACCGGTAGATTTTGAGAAACCTCAAAAAAAGTTTTCGGAATAACTTTTAAACGGCTTTACCGATCGTTTCCGAAAACTATTCAGCTTTTAACCTTGAAAAACCGGTCTCGTCAAAATCCGTTGTTTTGTTCGTGAGATATCGTTAACATTAAATTTTACAAAATGGATTTTTTTGAATAACTCCGATACTTCATATTCAGCGTCATAATTTGGTGAAATTTGGAGCGCTTTGCATTTGAAATTAGGGAAGTTCCAGGGATGGCCTGCAGGGTCAACCAATTTTTTTAACTTACACAGTACACAGCACACTTGTGGTTGGTAAGTGGTGATGATTATCTAGATGGTAAATCGCACTGTCTAAGCGTAATTTACTCTTGCCTCGAAGACACTGTGATTGTATCGGACACCCTGATTGAATACAGACGCCGGCGAATTATTCCACTCCTTTGCAGTACGCAACGCAAGACGAAGCAAAATTTTTGGTACGAATGCGTGGAATATCGAGGTCAAAGGGGTGACGACCCACCGACCATCCGGTGGTCCGATGGTGGAATGAATGAGTCATCATCATCATCCTTACAGCCCACAGGCCTCTCACAAGAAATGTCACAAACAATGGTTTTGAACCACCAGCATCCATTGACATCCTGCATGTCTAACCAGGTCGTCACTGTATCAAGTGGGGGGGGGGGGGGCGTCTTACACTTATGCTTACCGGTACCAGGCTACCTTTACCCCTCATCGGTTCGAGCCATATGGCCGGCCCATTGCTACTTCAGCTTACTGGTACATTAAACTAGGTTGGTTACTCTCGGTCGTTTCATATTAAATTAGTATTAAATAATAGATATAAAAAATAAAAGAATACAGAAAAAACCAATTAGGAAGATAAATTTACAATCCAAGGTTCAAAGCAATACTGGTACTATATCTATATATCTATATATATATTATATATATATATATAAAAAAAATATATATATACAACATTGGGCTCTCTGCACAAGTTTAAAGATTTAGAATGAGCAAATCGTTACACATTACAAATTAACACTGGTACTGGTAACATTGCAAGTATCTAACCTATGGTATACAGTTTATAATTAATATTGCTATGTAACCTATTGGTGTGACGACATGTTTAGGTTTACCAAAAACTATTTTCAAATAACAACACAAAATATTTCGAAAACGACAACAGATATGTGTTGCTAATTTTTATTCCTAAAACAAATTGAACTGGTCACTTTACATAAAATTAAATATATCTAAAACTACGCATCTGTTCCGAAGTTACCTCCCAGTACCGGCTAGTAACGTCAGCAACGTAGCCATACACTATGATTGCAAATTTGCCTGCAAAGCGTTATGATCCTCCATACCATGGAACAGTGCCATCTCCTTCACGAAAGAAATTAATAATTAACCCTTTCCCCGTTCCGTGACCCACATATGGGTCATTGATTTAGTCTTACTAATGTGTCTGCAAATCGAACAGTGAAAGTGTTACTTTTTTATTGAGCTTGACGTGTAATTGTTATTATCTGTGATATTAACTTAAGATGAAAATATTTAATTGCTTTAAATATTGCTTCCATCAATTTGTGTAGTCAATACTCGTAGTCTTCGAATGAATCGATTTCGTATTAAAGAAATATTACGGGACGTAATGAGTATTTATCAGGAATATAATTCGCCGATGTTTATCGGCTTGTTATATTGCTTTTATATATTATAGTATTTTAAATAACCTTTCTAAAGTTCTATGTACTAAAGATAGAATAAAAGAGAGTTAACTACCAAATGACCCAGTTTCATTATTCATAACCAAAGAGATTTATAACAAAAAATTTTGGCGTTATTTAGACAAGATAATAAAAAACATGTATGCAGTTCAGTTCACACGCGATAGAAATGACACCTTCAGAAAATTAAACGTCGAGAGAATCACACTAATGCAGAGTATCAGTAGTGTAGGGTTTATGTATTTAAAATAAAAATAACTTTATAATAAACACTGAACACTGTATTGTCACACTCGCAGGCTAAATCCTATAGATGTATATGTTTGTCTCTTTCTAGTTTCGTATTTTCGTTTCATCGAGATACAAATCACAAGGATTCTAAAGTTTTCACTTCCAAAAACATGTGTGCAGTTGACACACGGTACAAGTGAAACCTTTAAAAAAAGGCTACGAAGAACCGCACAAAGAGACCGAGATAACAGAAAACACTGTATACTGTATTCTATCTCATTCTCTCGCAAGCTAAATCCTATAGATGTATATGTTTGTCTCTTTTTAGTGTCGTGTTTTGGTTTCTTCGATTAACAACGATTCTAAAGAAGTTTTACATCAAAATCTGAAACTGAACTTTAGTTCAATATACAAACCGTTTTAAATCATGAGAACCAATCAATAAAAAAATAATAATATGAATGTCACTATTTTAGTATTTCACGGATTAAAACTTTAAAACATTTAATAAATGTTTAAGTTTGTTACTTATTCTGCAAAAGAAAGAGATACTGCTAACTAAATAAAAAACATAAATTGTACAAATTATGGTTCTCTTACAACAGGCAACATTCAAAGATTTCACTATAATATGGAATTTCTATGGTGTCTAATCTCTTGTTACATACAGCAACATAATTCAATCTCTCAAATATTTTGTGCTAGCTAATCTAGCTAGCAAATTTTTTTATCATCATCTGATTTGACATTTTATTTAATTTACATTATAGAAAAATTAAGGCCGAGGCCGTTTCATGATTGGTCGGTGTAACAGAGAAGTAACATAGGCTTTATCGAGGTCACTTCGATGTCGATACCGCGCATGTCTTTTGACTTTGAATGTAATCAATCGACACTATGCTCATAGATGATATTCGTTTATTTTTTAAACTAATTATCATGCATAGTTAGCAGTTTTTCAGTGTAATAAATTTAAACAAATTTGGACTTTATGTGCAATATAAATTAGTGATGTTTTACGCTATCAATTATTTATAAATTACACAGATGTAAATCTTCGTCTATTTTTGTCTGTATACGTTTTAGATTTGCATTTATTATTTGTGATACCTAAACCAATATAATATTCAAGCGTTTGTTTGCGCGTTTTTCTTCTTTGGCGGTGGCGTGGGGGGTTTCTCCCCGCAGGTGTTCCTCCTGTTCGCGATGGAGTTGTACAGGAAAGAGCCCCGCGGCGACCACACGGTATCGTAGTTGTTCCGCGGTGGCGTGGGGTTCGAGTTGGAGTTCGTGTCCGGGTTGTTGTTGTTGTCGCTCTCCACCTCGGAGTACCGCTGCGACTGTTTCTGCGGCAGCGGAGGCGGTTCCTCATCGTCTTGGTTGGAGTCGGTGGTGCCTGCAGGATTACGGACTTCATTACATAAAATGCCTCACTATTGATAACAATAAACTTTTATTATACAACACGTAATATAAGTAACGCACTTTGAAGTAGAAAGTAGTTTGTTCAGAATCGTTTACTGAATCGATTCCCATCATTTTTAATATAGGTAATTTTTATCCTAAAATAATTAAAACTATGTAAATTACAGTCACACTAAATCTGTACAGTCAAAACAAAGCGAAATGGACCGTAACTTAAGGCAATAAGATTTTTAAGAGTGCAGTTTTATTTGTATTATTACTAATTATGTCATTCAATAAAAATAAAGAAAAATGAACTTTATTTGAAGCACGTTAAAGTCTTTGCGTTCGTGGATTTGTACTGTGACCACAACATTCTTCCGAAATTACTATAACTAATTTGATAAATAATCAGTGTATAAAAATGTTTAACTAAAAATTCAGTGTATGTATTATGATTATAACATAATATACTAATTTGGGTGTCTTAGGGTGTGCGTTAATTACGTTATATATTGTATATTGCAATTTTTTATAGGATAAGGGTAACTTACGGGCATATAGTCCACCTAATGGTACGTGGACGCCTATTAACATATACATATATTCAATCAAAATGTGAATGTTTTGTCACCCGTGAGGTCTAAGATAGCATGTTTTGTAATCAGTAATAAAAAGGTTTTTTGTTAAAGCCAGCTTTGCCCGGTCGAACCGACCCATTCGTGTTGCAGCCATACCTCTCCCATGACTGCCGCTCTCCTACGTAAAAACCGTGACCAAGCTATAAAAACTACGTGGTTCTACCACATAAAATGTTATATATTGTATAATAAACGAGTCACTGACAAAATAATAATTTTTATAGAATAAGGGTGACAAACGAGCACATAGTCCACCTGATGGTAAGTGAATGCCGTGGCCCATTGACGTCTACATTTATCTAAATCAAAATGCAGATGGGTTGTCACCCCTGAGGACTAAGATGGAATGCCTCGTTTCCATTAAAAAGGGTCTCCAGATCTCTACACTCACCATACGAAACACAGCAGTATCAAGCTGCTATTTTATGCTGGTATTCTGTGAGAGCGTGGTCCTGCCCCGGTCGAGCCGACACATTCGTGCTACAACCATAATATAGCTGCAGCGTGGCTCTACCATGTAAGGATAAATATAGAATATTCTTAAGACCGGTTTTCGACCATGGCGGCCAGTCTCAAAGGAGACTCGTTATCTGCGCAGGACAGGATTATAGCGCCCGAGTGTATGTGCAAGCACAGGTACACTCTATACATAGTCTGATCATACATAGTTCGATGGGACACTAATCGTCACATCTTTCATGCCTCACCAATGCCTCATGTGCGTTTCACTTAATTTTGTTGAAAAATATAAATAGTATTTGAGACTTTTAAAATATATTATTTACGTATTTTAAATTTAGTGATCTATTATTTTAACAGATAGCCTACAGGGAAAATATAATAATGTTTACCAAAATAAATCGTTTACACAAAGTATAAAATCGATATATGTATGCTGTATGTTACATGTGTCCTTTGTCTATCAAGGGCAAAAAAAATGAAAGCACCTTTAAATTTTTATAACTTATAAAAGTTGGAAATCATTTTATCGAGAAACTACGCGTACTAGGCTATTGATATGAAATAGTGAACCAGTTAATGTAATTTTGGAGCGAAAAAAAATCCGGTCTCGATACAATTTTTTTTTCAAAGTAGCAATATAAAATGATTTTTAGAAAATATAAGTGGATTAATTAGTGTTTTTTTTATATATACGGCTACTCATATTATCGTAAAAGCGCAATATGGTAATGATAGAGGCATTTCAAGAACACAAAATTGCTTACCTTGGACGTGTCGAGAGAGCACTACCTAATAACGCTTAGAGTTATTGAGGCGTACAAAAACTATCCATGATACAGGAGAAAAGCCTAACGTAGAGGTTTATTTTTTATAAAAGAAAATTCACTTCTGATTTTTGACTTATTTGTCTACAGATGAGTCACTAGCGGGCTCCAACGATGACGTATCAAGTCAGAACATGCTCGTTGCTCCTCTTCTCTAAAAAAAGTATAAGTTCGTGTTTAATAACGCACTCACCGAGCGAGTCCCTGTTGGAAGGTGGTGTCGAAGAGTTGAGCAAGCTGGCACGTTGTGACAGACGACGTTCCCGTTCCGCTTCAGCACGAAGTGGTCTCTCCGTCACCAACTGTCATACACAATGAACAATCATTAAAGTCCTATACAGGGTGTTAGTGTAAACACCGTTATCCTTGAAACCAGCGGTTTGGTTTCACTTATAGAACGTAAATTCAATGATTTAAAAAAACGCTATTTTCTTTCATAAAATTTAAAAAGTTTCTGTCCAAAACTGTCCGTAAATTCATGGCCCTATGCACCCGAGTAACGTAATCACTGCAAAGATCACCGCCCGCCCTAGCTACCTACACAACATTCCAATAAAAACACAATAGATACACATAACCTGTGATGTAACTTTTCCTTCACACTTCCATCCTGGCTAAAACAGGCAAAAATTGAGGAATTAAGGAAATTTTGAGATTTTACTAAAAAAAATGTTGTTAGTTTTCATTGAATTTACGTTCTATAAGTGAAACCAAACCACTGGTTTCAAAGATAACGGTGTTTACACTAACATCCTGTATAGTATCTTAATCAGCGTCGTAGTGGCGTGTAAAAATATCCACTACCCCATAAAAAGGCGATAGAGATACAAATCAGGAGGTGGATTTAGATTAAAAAATTGCAGTTTACTGACTTGTTTGCCAAGCATGATCGCAGTAGTGGACTTTAATAATGATAATAACGTCGTCCAGACAAAATTTCGGTCACAGCGGCCAGCCTCAACGTAGACAAGACATCTGCGCAGGACAGGATTATAATGCCCAAGTGTATGCGCAAGCGCACAGCGCAGGTGCACTCTCTATTATCTTACTCTCACTATCCAATGGGACGGTAAACCGACACAACCCGGGAGAGATCAGGCGCAGGACCAACGGCTTTACGTACTTTCCGAGGCACGGGGGTGACACACCGCCAACTTCCTGACTCCGGGCAGCTACTGAGAATTTCTTAATGGAAAAACTCAATAACTGATATTTATTGGTCTGACCCGTGATTCCAACCCGGGACCTCATGATCACAAGTCACATTACTACAACCACTAGACCAATGAGGCAGTTGGACTTTAATAGGCTGTAACGGTAAAAAAAGTAAAGTTACAGCCTATATACATCCCACTGCTGGGCACCGGCCTCCCTCATTTCTGAGAGGGTTTTAGGGCAAGGAAGTATCCGCTGCGCTGCCCCAATACGTGTTGGCGGACTTCACATGTCTTCGAAATATTTTTTTTCTTAATCCTCAGACATGCAGATTTCCTCAAGATGTTTTCCTTCACCGCCGAGCACGTGGTAAATCAGCACTTAAAATTGCAATTAACAATTTCATTGGTGCCGGCGGGGATCGAACCCGGGTTACTCGTGTTCTGTTATATTTACAGCGAGCGTTAACCATCTGAGCCACCACGGCTCTTTAACCATCCATCAACAACCATAAAAGTATTTTCATCAACATGGCTGTAACGGTACCGGTAGTAAAATCTATAATTACTAGTGGTCGAAATTCAACCGTAAATCGTTAAATTTTAGGCTGGCATATTAAATATATTACTTTCAATTTTACTTTTATACACATATACAAAATACGGATACGTAATATTAAAGCCCGCTATGTATACTAATAGACGGGCTCTGTGGCCTTAAGTGGATTGTGAAGCTGTAAATTTTCATACAAAAAGGCGATAACGTTCTCACCTGTTTACACAGTCTCAATTTTATAATTTTTGGAAACCTTGTAGATATTATGAACATCTAGGTCTTTACGTTTTTACTCTAAACAAATATTGCGTGCGATATAAGTTACTAGAATCTAAATATCTATATTTTTGAAATAACTAAACATATTTAAATTAAGGTGTACTGAATAGAATGAGATCAAAATCGTCTCATTTCATAAAGGGTGAGGGTGAAAATGTTATCACCCGAAGCAATATTTCAAAAAGGAAATGTAGGCAATTGCCTCCAAGACTTGCAACTCTCTCTATCACGCCCGGAGAGAGGCAGAGTGAGCGGTATGAAACAAATAGCATTTTTGAAAATACCTACTCGTGCCGCGTATCGGCTATCGGCACTTCACAATCCTCTTAATATATTGCGCACCAAGTTATGGTCAGTTCTTATAAACATTTTTAGTCGTATGCAAGCAGGCGAGAATACTAATTTTTTGTTTTATAAACTACAAACGGTGTTCTCGACAGTTAACACTGAATTTGTTTGATGTGAGTAAGAAAACTGTGCCATTATTTATGTGCGCATTTTATTAACGTTATTTTAGGTTTATTTAAGATATTTATGTAAATTTATTTTGTATTTGCCCAAAATCAGTAATGGTTATAGCAAGTATTAAAAGTACAATTGCGTGGCATATTTACTGCGTCAGTCACCCGCGCGTGCATTTTACAGCTGTGATATAGTTTTGCTCTGAATTGTTGGTCTAGAAGTGTTCATAAGACTTTGTGTAATGTACGTAAATATAAAATAAACGTTTATTCGATCGTTTAAAAAGGAATATTTAAAATCACACAAAATGCATACATTAACTGTCAGTAATTATCGACTCTGTTGGTAGGTAATATTTAAAACTAACTGGCGACAATTTATTCATCAATTTAAATGTCTATTCTTTATGGTATTACGCTCTTCCAATAAAGTCTCAGATAGTATAAAAGGTCTGTTTACTTATGTAAAGTTAAATGTTTTTCTGTCAAGAAATTTTCAGTAGCTTTCTGGAATGAGAAGGCTTATCTCCGAGCCTCGAAAAGCACGTAAAGCTGTTGGTCCTGCGCCTAATATCTTTCTGGTCGTGTCGGTTTACTGTCCTACCGGATTATGAGCGTATAGGGAATAGAGAGTGCACCTGTGCTTGCGCATACACTCGGGCACTATAATCCTGTCCAGCCCCGATGGCTAGTCTCCGTGGCTAGGCTGGCCGCCGTGACCGAAATTAGGTCTGGAGGACATTGTTATTAGCTAAAACATAATTAGTAATTGCATTAATTTTATGATCGTGAGTGAACTTCTGACAGCTCGCGACATGTTATACTCCCGTTCCCTCGGGACCTTAATGGCGGGAAAATTTGCAAGTTAGCAAATTTTTTGCTATATTGCAAATTTTGCTATATTTTCACTTTGAAACAATATTTATGGATAAAACTTACAGGAATTCTTGTTGAATGTATAAACTATCGTTGTTGTTGTTTGTTGAATATATATAACTATATATTTTTGGTGCTAGAAATTGTAATAAAATTCATAAATTACCCTTTATAGCATAGTAGTAGTATATACTTCACTTTTAGTGACAAAATTACTACTAATTTAAATTATACACTTTTGTTTTTGGAGAAATTTATATGAAAATGTTTGGAAATATGTATATTTTTATGTTTTATGTGTTTCTATTCATTACTCATACCAAAATATTAAAATATTAAAAAATTAAAAAAATAATAATAATATTTATCTGTATGTCATTTCGAACAATATTTCAAAAATATTTTTGTGTGAATTTGAAATAAATACAACGTCAAGTTATTTGAAATATGTAAGAAAACTATTTTTACTTACATTTTACACTAAAAATAAATGAGAATTGGAAAAATAACACATTTTTGACCCAACCGCCAAAATGGGCCTTCCGGATTTCGAAGTACTTTTGGCAATTTACTTTTCACTTTTTATACCACAAATTATATATCTACGTGTTTACTATATTACAAGGAATATAAAAAAGTATAATACTTTCGTTTTTAGTCCAGACACAAATATAAAATTACATAAAAAAGACGGAGCACCTTCATCAAAGTGACACGTGGAACGCCGAAAGTTCAGAGTGATTTCTTCTTTTTTATGTTTTAAGAAACATTGCGAGGTTATGGGCAGTACCTCTGATCGAATTCGATCTCTTTTAGAGCCGAGGTAAGGTAGGTAGGTATTGTATGGTCGAATTCGTGCGGCATTAGAAGTAACAAGAGCCGGCAGGGTATTCTGTATACCTCTTGTCTGAGCTCGCGTAGCGGCGAGACCGCGGAGTCCAGCGGTGCGCTGGTGGGCAGGCTGGCGGCGGGAGCACTGCTGGGGAGGGGGGGCCCGCTGGGCGCGTACCACTGGCTCCCACTACGCTCCTGCGCTGATGCTTCGCTTGCAGCCTCCTGCTGGTCATACCATTTGTGAATCAACATCCAATCCTTCAAAACATTTATTCAAAACCTCGGCTGCACAAAATTGTTCACAGCTAATTTTTTTATACCCTATGTCATTCCAACGACCAAGGCTAGTCTAATGACATCCTTTATATCAATATCTGTCAAGCCATTTAGGCTTCAGAAGAGAAGAAATTATTCAATATTTAATAATTGATATTATATATATATACATATACATATGAATATTAGTATTAGACATGTGTCGATCATGCATGATTCGTTCGTTTGAGCTGGTACACTTAAAAGTATTGATGGTTCATTCATTTGTTTTTGAATGTACCAGTACAACCAATCACAAACAATTGACGGTACCTTTTTAACCCGCGATTTGTTTGAATTGTGAATGAGCCGCAAACCGACCGAATCCCGAATGATCTGAATAAACAGGCGAATCGAATTAACAATGCAGACTGCAAAGCATAGAGTAGAGTAATATATACACGGAACACCATTACTCCTAGCGGAGAATATATACAGAAACTGCAGAGTATCAGGAGTATTTATTATTTTAGGTTTTTTTTTTACTATAATATTGTTACCTAAATTAAAAATCATTTTACATTTAAATCTATGAGTTAAAAATATCGTTTTGTAGAGTTTACTAAAAATAACACTTCAAAAGATTTTATGATAAATGACTTATTTAATGATAATTTTCAACCATCTTATATAAGTGTAAGTTAGGTAAAAGTTTAATTTCATAGCAAATAAATGTTTCAATCCCTATTTTCAGACATGTAAAGTAAGATGAAATTGTGTATGTTCAGACTCACAGCGTGTTAGGAGTGAAATTTAACATTAAGCATATTTATTAAATATTTAAAATATATGACAACTTGAGGTTTTTGTGTTTATGCCATCTAGCGTCGATTGTCCTTACCACCTTGAAAGTTAATGAGTTTAAATTCGATAAAATGACTTTATTACCTACATCATGTAGTAGATGGCGCTATTACAAATCTTAAATTTTCGGTTCCCAATAGATTTCACAGACTCACAGAGTACTGGAGCCTGAAATGATCCATTTCAATGATCGATCCGAATGTACCAGTACGCGTGACGAAATGTACTAGAATGATTCGGTCGCTAGAAATGAGTGATTTACACATGTCTAATTAGTATAAACATTATATTTAAGATTTTATTTATATTATTTAATAAATATATTAATACCAAAAATCTATATGACAAAAATTATATATATAAATAGTATTTTATGAATTATAAAATTTAGTTTAAATTTATTTTACATGTAAATTTTAGTGTTAATTTTTAATTATTTTAATAATAATTATTAATATTTGCAGTAATTAAAATAAAAAATTTAAGAAATTAAAATTTAGAAATATTATGCTTTAAATATAGACTTCAGAACGTCCTAAAGAACAAATTAAAGATAAAAAAACACATATATAATAACTACCTTTTTCGCTCGTCTCTTGTCGCGTCTCCTCGGTGAGCTCTGCAGCGTGCCGAAGTAACTGACTACACCGCCACTGCTATTCCTACAACACAATAAATTAAATTACAAACAACTTCACATATAATATGTACGCCAAATACATAATATATTTCCGCGACATTGTTTCCATCATAGAATACTATAATACACAATAGCTGTCAACTTTAATTTGTACGAGGACTGGCGTCGCCAAACCCGATGCGCTGTGTTGACAGACTGAGTATATTTACACATTTTAGACTTTTGATAATTGTTCAAGATCATCATTGATAATTTCAATACATATTTATTTGTATGCGCAAAATGTGTATTTGGGTGCAATTTGGCATTTTCTAAATAATTTGCATGCGAAATTTGGAAACGATTGTAACGTCAAAACACATCTCGTATTGACATTTATACGTGTGAATTTACGGGTTAGTGACATTTTAGTGGCTACGCGGGCTCCGCCCACTCCCCCGTTTTATTATGTATGTATTATAGTATTCTATGGTTTCCATAACTTGTGTACATTTTTCTTTTATATAACGGAAGTGACAATATAATTTACATTGCACTTGATGAAAAGTAGCTTCTTAAATCCATAAAAACCCATAGCCAACTTCATGCAAACAACAAACAAAAGGCTTTTGACAGCTAACAAAAAGTATTTTGATCAACATGACTATACAGATCAATCATTGACAATTTCATGATTTAAAAATTTTATATTGAAAAACTTTAATAAAATATGTTCTGTTATATTCATAAATTCGCGTCTGATCACGTTGTTATACTTCAGCGATTGCTGTGCGCAAAACGTTAATGCCTATAGAAATATACGAAAACAATTATAAAAAGTTTAAAGGCACTTAGCAAAACCCGTATTTTACCTGTATTATTTCTGTACACAATAATAAAGATATATTTATGTGGACTGATAGAAAAGATCAAAACAAAGGCTTCTATGTATACCATAATATTTATTATAACAAACAAGCTCTACGGCCATAATACATCATGCACTAAATTACGGTCGATTCTCCGTAACTTTTTTAGTCACCTGCGACCTGTCGAGAAAACTAGTCATTTCTTTTGTATCATGGAGTGTAGATGTAAGGAAAACCGTCTCTGTATTAAGAAAATGTCCGTAGTTCTCTACGGACATTTTCTTACAAACAGAGACTACTAAATAACGGTGGCGCCACTGTAACTAGAGGGTAAATTTTAGAGAACTTTTTATAACTTTTTATTGCACAGACTGTCACCATAATTCTTTTTTATAATTATTACTTTATTGATTTAATATTTTTAATTTTCAAAATAGCTCAAAGGTCTAGCAGTATACATAGAAGTCTTTGGAACAAAAATGTTGCACAAACCTGGTTAAAGGATTGATGGCACTGTTGAAGCTGAAGAATTTGGATTTCGACGCAGTACTGAAACAAACAAATTTATGATATTTACACGTGGTAGAGCCAAGCAGCTATATTATCGCTGTAGCAGAAATCGGTCGGCTCGACCGGGGCAGGACCACGCTCTCACAGAATACCAGCGTAAAATAGCAGCTTAATGCTGCTGTTTCGTATGGTGAGTGTAGAGAACCGAAGACCCCTTTACTGGAAACGAGACATTCCATTTTAGCCCTCACGGGTGACAACATTCGGCATTTTGATTTTTAATCGAAGATAGATGTAGATATCTATGGGCCACAGCATCCACTAACTATCAGGTAGTGTCATCTGTGTGCTCGTTTGTCACCCTATATTCTATAAAAAACAAACGCGTGCCAGCTACATCCATTACCAAACCATCCATTACCAAAAAACAAACGCGTGCCAGCTACATCCATTACCAAACCATCCATTACCAAAAAACAAACTCGTGCCAGCTACATCCATTACCAAACCATCCATTACCAAAAAATAAACGCGTGCCAGCTACATCCATTACCAAACCATCCATTACCAAAAAACAAACGCGTGCCAGCTACATCCATTACCAAACCATCCATTACCAAAAAACAAACGCGTGCCAGCTACATCCATTACCAAACCATCCATTACCAAAAAACAAACGCGTGCCAGCTACATCCATTATCAAACCATCCATTACCAAAAAAACAAACGCGTGCCAGCTACATCCATTACCAAACCATCCATTACCAAAAAACAAACGCGTGCCAGCTACATCCATTACCAAACCATCCATTACCAAAAAACAAACGCGTGCCAGCTACATCCATTACCAAACCATCCATTACCAAAAAACAAACGCGTGCCAGCTACATCCATTACCAAACCATCCATTACCAAAAAACAAACGCGTGCCAGCTACATCCATTACCAAACCATCCATTACCAAAAAACAAACGCGTGCCAGCTACATCCATTACCAAACCATCCATTACAAAAAAACAAACGCGTGCCAGCTACATCCATTACCAAACCATCCATTACCAAAAAACAAACGCGTGCCAGCTACATCCATTACCAAACCATCCATTACCAAAAAACAAACGCGTGCCAGCTACATCCATTATCAAACCATCCATTACCAAAAAACAAACGCGTGCCAGCTACATCCATTACCAAACCATCCATTACCAAAAAACAAACGCGTGCCAGCTACATCCATTACCAAACCATCCATTACCAAAAAAACAAACGCGTGCCAGCTACATCCATTACCAAACCATCCATTACCAAAAAACAAACGCGTGCCAGCTACATCCATTACCAAACCATCCATTACCAAAAAACAAACGCGTGCCAGCTACATCCATTACCAAACCATCCATTACCAAAAAACAAACGCGTGCCAGCTACATCCATTACCAAACCATCCATTACAAAAAAACAAACGCGTGCCAGCTACATCCATTACCAAACCATCCATTACCAAAAAACAAACGCGTGCCAGCTACATCCATTACCAAACCATCCATTACCAAAAAACAAACGCGTGCCAGCTACATCCATTACCAAACCATCCATTACAAAAAAAACAAACGCGTGCCAGCTACATCCATTACCAAAAAACAAACGCGTGCCAGCTACATCCATTACCAAACCATCCATTACCAAAAAACAAACGCGTGCCAGCTACATCCATTATCAAACCATCCATTACCAAAAAACAAACGCGTGCCAGCTACATCCATTACCAAACCATCCATTACCAAAAAACAAACGCGTGCCAGCTACATCCATTACCAAACCATCCATTACCAAAAAACAAACGCGTGCCAGCTACATCCATTACCAAACCATCCATTACCAAAAAACAAACGCGTGCCAGCTACATCCATTACCAAACCATCCATTACCAAAAAACAAACGCGTGCCAGCTACATCCATTACCAAACCATCCATTACAAAAAACAAACGCGTGCCAGCTACATCCATTACCAAACCATCCATTACCAAAAAAACAAACGCGTGCCAGCTACATCCATTACCGAACCATCCATTACCAAAAAACAAACGCGTGCCAGCTACATCCATTACCAAACCATCCATTACCAAAAAACAAACGCGTGCCAGCTACATCCATTACCAAACCATCCATTACCAAAAAACAAACGCGTGCCAGCTACATCCATTACCAAACCATCCATTACCAAAAAACAAACGCGTGCCAGCTACATCCATTACCAAACCATCCATTACCAAAAAACAAACGCGTGCCAGCTACATCCATTACCAAACCATCCATTACCAAAAAAACAAACGCGTGCCAGCTACATCCATTACCAAACCATCCATTACCAAAAAACAAACGCGTGCCAGCTACATCCATTACCAAACCATCCATTACCAAAAAACAAACGCGTGCCAGCTACATCCATTACCAAACCATCCATTACCAAAAAACAAACGCGTGCCAGCTACATCCATTACCAAACCATCCATTACCAAAAAACAAACGCGTGCCAGCTACATCCATTATCAAACCATCCATTACCAAAAAACAAACGCGTGCCAGCTACATCCATTACCAAACCATCCATTACCAAAAAACAAACGCGTGCCAGCTACATCCTTTACCAAAAAACAAACGCGTGCCAGCTACATCCATTACCAAACCATCCATTACCAAAAAACAAACGCGTGCTAGCTACATCCATTACCAAACCATCCATTACCAAAAAACAAACGCGTGCCAGCTACATCCATTACCAAACCATCCATTACCAAAAAACAAACGCGTGCCAGCTACATCCATTACCAAACCATCCATTACCAAAAAACAAACGCGTGCCAGCTACATCCATTACCAAACCATCCATTACCAAAAAACAAACGCGTGCCAGCTACATCCATTACCAAACCATCCATTACCAAAAAACAAACGCGTGCCAGCTACATCCATTACCAAACCATCTATTACCAAAAAACAAACGCGTGCCAGCTACATCCATTACCAAACCATCCATTACCAAAAAACAAACGCGTGCCAGCTACATCCATTACCAAACCATCCATTACCAAAATAACAAACGCGTGCCAGCTACATCCATTACCAAACCATCCATTACTAAAAAACAAACGCGTGCCAGCTACATCCATTACCAAACCATCCATTACCAAAAAACACACGCGTGCCAGCTACATCCATTACCAAACCATCCATTACCAAAAAAACAAACGCGTGCCAGCTACATCCATTACCAAACCATCCATTACCAAAAAACAAACGCGTGCCAGCTACATCCATTACCAAACCATCCATTACCAAAAAACAAACGCGTGCCAGCTACATCCATTACCAAACCATTCATTACCAAACCATCCATTACCAAAAAACAAACGCGTGCCAGCTACATCCATTACCAAACCATCCATTACCAAAAAACAAACGCGTGCCAGCTACATCCATTACCAAACCATCCATTACCAAAAAAACAAACGCGTGCCAGCTACATCCATTACCAAACCATCCATTACCAAAAAACAAACACGTGCCAGCTACATCCATTACCAAACCATCCATTACCAAAAAACAAACGCGTGCCAGCTACATCCATTACCAAACCATTCATTACCAAAAAACAAACTCGTGCCAGCTACATCCATTACCAAACCATCCATTACCAAAAAACAAACGCGTGCCAGCTACATCCATTACCAAACCATCCATTACCAAAAAACAAACGCGTGCCAGCTACATCCATTACCAAACCATCCATTACCAAAAAACAAACGCGTGCCAGCTACATCCATTACCAAACCATCCATTACCAAAAAACAAACGCGTGCCAGCTACATCCATTACCAAACCATCCATTACCAAAAAACAAACGCGTGCCAGCTACATCCATTACCAAACCATCCATTACCAAAAAACAAACGCGTGCCAGCTACATCCATTACCAAACCATCCATTACCAAAAAGCAAACGCGTGCCAGCTACATCCATTACCAAACCATCCATTACCAAAAAACAAACGCGTGCCAGCTACATCCATTACCAAACCATCCATTACCAAAAAACAAACGCGTGCCAGCTACATCCATTATCAAACCATCCATTACCAAAAAACAAACGCGTGCCAGCTACATCCATTACCAAACCATCCATTACCAAAAACAAACGCGTGCCAGCTACATCCATTACCAAACCATCCATTACCAAAAAACAAACGCGTGCCAGCTACATCCATTATCAAACCATCCATTACCAAAAAACAAACGCGTGCCAGCTACATCCATTACCAAACCATCCATTACCAAAAAACAAACGCGTGCCAGCTACATCCATTACCAAACCATCCATTACCAAAAAACAAACGCGTGCCAGCTACATCCATTACCAAACCATCCATTACCAAAAAACAAACGCGTGCCAGCTACATCCATTACCAAACCATCCATTACCAAAAAACAAACGCGTGCCAGCTACATCCATTACCAAACCATCCATTACCAAAAAACAAACGCGTGCCAGCTACATCCATTACCAAACCATCCATTACAAAAAAACAAACGCGTGCCAGCTACATCCATTACCAAACCATCCATTACCAAAAAACAAACGCGTGCCAGCTACATCCATTACCAAACCATCCATTACCAAAAAACAAACGCGTGCCAGCTACATCCATTACCAAACCATCCATTACAAAAAAAAACAAACGCGTGCCAGCTACATCCATTACCAAAAAACAAACGCGTGCCAGCTACATCCATTACCAAACCATCCATTACCAAAAAACAAACGCGTGCCAGCTACATCCATTATCAAACCATCCATTACCAAAAAACAAACGCGTGCCAGCTACATCCATTACCAAACCATCCATTACCAAAAAACAAACGCGTGCCAGCTACATCCATTACCAAACCATCCATTACCAAAAAACAAACGCGTGCCAGCTACATCCATTACCAAACCATCCATTACCAAAAAACAAACGCGTGCCAGCTACATCCATTAC